TTTTTTTAAAAAAAATTGTACTGAAAAATGGCGGCAAAATTTTTTCTTGCGAGTATTTCCTTATTTCGTTCATTTCTTTTTCCAAGAGGTACTATACATGTGGATCACACTGAACATGTGAACTTTATGTCTTCTTGAGGTTTCTTCTTTGAAGGTGACAAGCTGTGTGAATAGTGGGCATAACCACATAGTCATGGTGAGATGAGATGTAAAATAAGGTTGAACTCTTAACCCGAACAGCACTCAACTATCTCTTCAACAGGATAACATTATAATGTCGCTTAAAAACACTTGGATGAAAGGAAATTTCATTAAAAACGAAAACAAAAAAATCGCCGCAATTCCTCACACCAAAGAAATCCAAATGTCATTGTTGAGCCGTTTCGATTTCTTTACAACGATAACATCGTCGCAAGTGAATTGGAAAGAACAATTCCAAGGATGGAGGAGAAGAGTTTCCTTCCTTCTTGCTCTTCTCATCATTCTCTCCGTGGTTGGTTTTTCTATCGGCTACTTTGCAGGTCATGATTTGAAAGGAGCCTCGACGTGGCGTCTTGGCTTTGTGATGATTATTTCGGTTGCATTTGGCTATGCTCTCGTTCAGTCTTCATATGGGTTCGGAGCTCACTTCCGAGTGTTTTACAAACAACAATATGAGTTGGTGGATATCAAGAAAATTCAAAATTCATCGGATGATGATACTCAAAAACTCATTCACGAAGGCCAAACGAAGGAAGAAGCAGTGTCTAATCCTCATCGTGATGAAGAAAAAGAACAACCACCTAAGGAAATTATTCTCACTCCCGATAAAGCTCTTCCGCAATACTCGACTATGCAAGCTCATTGCATCATGCTTGCGGTGGCTACCTTCCTCTTCTCCATGCTCTATATCATTGATAAGGCTGCTGGATGGCACATGTACTCTCCAGAGGCTTCTCCCATGACAATTTCTATTGTGATTGGAGGCTTCTTGTTCGGAATAGGAATGCAGCTTGGTGGATGCTTTGTGCCTCAGGTACTTTGTTCACTATCGGGGTGGAAGTTTATGGAGTGTCTATTTATTGGTGTAAGTTTATATATCAATTGAAATTTAAATGGTTAATTATTAAGCACAACAACAACCGCATGCTAACGATGGAATTAATCATTAACCACAACAACATGTGCTGCTGATATGATTTCCATTTTTATTTCAACGATACAAAAAGGTTCTTTGTGTGTGGTTCAGTAATTGCTACTGCATTACAAAGTGCTGGAGATTGGAATATTGGGTTTAAAAATCATGCAGGATTGAGTTTATTGTTTCCAGGAACATTTTTGAGAAAGGCCTTTGGTATCATGTTCTTTGAAAAAAACCCATGGCTTGAGTATTTGATTGCAGTCATTATGATGCTGACACAAATAACCATTTTAGTGTCCATTGCAGCTGCTATTCATTTTACTACAGAAGAAAAACAAGAAAAACCAGATGGATTTGAGTGGAGATGCAGAAGAACAATCTGGGCTCATTAATCAAGATTATGAAATTGATACTCGCTCACCACTTCAAAAATTAATGTCATTTGTGTCAATGATTGTTTTAGATTTATTTATGGACCTTGGGTAAGTGCATCTTGTAAGGGAGAATATTTCACACAACAATACCTTAAATTTCAAAATTTCAGGATTTAATTAGTGGCTCGATTGCATTGGCTTTGTTAAACTTTTGTTTTCTTTTAGCTACGCAACATCCCATGGGTTTGACAGGTCCCTTCGCCATTATTGGTTGTAAAATTTTGGATGCTATTGCTCCTTCACTTGATGTTCCAAAATGGTCGGCATGGAAAGATATTGATTTAAGAAAGGCCAATATGCTCTTCAATTCGAATTTTATTCTTGATTTTGGAATTGTCTATGGAGCCTTAATTGTTGGATTATTACGAGGAAAATTCCCAAGTTTTTAGATGGATTTTCACTGAAGAGCTTATCTCATACGTTTAAGAGTCACAAACAAGGTGATCACTCATCATCCATTTTCACAACTTTGAAACGAATTTTGAATAATATTGGAAATTGGCTCAAGAATAACATTGGAATTGCTATTGCCAAAATTATTGGAGGTATTTGTATGGGTATTGGAGCAAAGTTTGGATATGGCTGTAACATTGGAGCTTATTTTTCTGGTGTCTCATGCATGTCCATTCATGGTTATTCATGGATAACCATGGCTCTGCTGGGTGGATATATTGGAGCAGTGGTACGACCTTTGTTTGGATACAAGAAGAGAAAAGTTGCTTGTGGAACCGTTTGCAATACTGCTTCCATTTATTAAAAAAGAAGCAAACGTGAAATTATTCGTGCCATCAAATATTTTTGAAACCAAAGTTGAATGAAAATGAAAACAACATCCATCTTTCCTTTTTTTAACATTTATTTAAATTTTTTTAAAAAATACGAAAACAAGACTTGTTGGAGAGACTGCAATAAAATTCTCTCCGAACGCTCACAACATTTTCTTCATCTCACCAATCCCTCACCACCATGAATTCCTCATCCAATTCTTTATTTATTGAACAAGCACATCCGAATCTACAACAACAGCAACAACAACGTATTCCCTACAGACACCACAATCCCATCATCATTTCGGAACAAGACCGTCCATCCGTAGAAGAGCAACATGATGAACCAACAAATCCAAAACGATTTTCTGTTGCTTCTGTAACATCTTCAGTCGATTTTGAATCATCCATTCAACTTAAACCATCGATATTTTCAATTTCTGTTGATTTATTTATAATCACATGTTCGTTAGGATTGGCAATTTGGGGATTAGTTTATTTTACAAAATATATAAATCTGCCGAAAGCAAGAGTGGGCAATAATTATTTTTCGGATCATATGGAAGCAACTGTTGTAAATAATTTATTGAATAATATTAAGCAATTTTTGGAAAAGCCTCAAGAGTACTTGTCGCTACTACATTCCATACGGTGGACTGTATTTGAAAATCAAGCTTTGAAAAATACTTTTAATACTTCTTCAACAGCTTCTTGTAACTTTTCCGATTTAAATTCATTGGTATTTAATATTGTGGTAGTTGTATCGGTGAGTGACCTTATTGCAACCATCTTGTCCATTGCTTCCGTGGCTTTAGTTTTAATTGCATTGGTCAATGCTGGAAGAAAATTATTTTGATGACCGAAGTGGAGGATGAAGAGTTTTATTCTCGTCTTAATGTCGGCGGGGTTGAGAATAACACCATGAGGATAAGTGTGGAAATGGATAGTCAAAGCACTGCAAAATTTAATATCACATCGACGACCGCAGGTTCAAATACATTAGAAGCAGAACCATCTTCAGCACGAAATCGAAATTCAGCGAGAACCACAGGTAGTTATATGAGCAATTTAGCTCCTCCTTCAAATCTCAATAATTTGAGTGGTAATAATCTTCGAGGAAGAAAGCCAGTCATTGTGACACAAAGTAAGAAAAATCGATTTTTCCTGGCGTCTAACATTTTGACAACATGTAGAGTTTTTACTGGAATTGTTTCGTTCTCCTTGACATTGGTGTTCACATCCATTCTCTTTAACGCCAAGCAAGATACTTGTGCTGAAAATGTCACCTTCATACAGAGTCTTCAAGGATTGAGAGAATTATTGCTTCCCTATCTGATCACACAATTTGGTGTAATTTTCGTAATTCTAATAATTGTGTTGACCAAGTTATTGGTCATGTATTGGCTTTTGGCAAAACCATCTTCGTGGTTAAAACGCCATGTCACCAAACTCTTTTCAAAGCATAAAAAATCAGAAATAAACAATCAAGCGTAAATGAAAGAGATTATGAACATGATTTAAGGTTACTTGTTGTTTTAATAATTCAAGTGTACATGTATGAATGGTTGTTACAATGGTTGAGAAGAAGGTTTTCTTGCTTCTCATGTGCGTTACTATTATCTTTTTAATAGTATAGGTCAAAATTGTTGTGTGAAAAGTTTGGTGGTTGTTGTTCACGAGAAAACAAAATGATTACCAAAAAACAAAAGCAATCGCTAACAATGAGAAAATCAATGCCACTTTGGTTCCAACTTGAGATGCAGAAGAATTCAAAGCATGTGTTTCACACTTGGAATTGGTACTACACTCTGTTTGCACTTCTACTGCTTTGTTTTCATCCTGTTGTGGTTTTGATGAAGCAGAGGAAGATGTCATCCATAAATTTCCTCTCAATTTTCCTTCTCTCAAAGCTTGTAATTTCTTACAATAGCATTTGCACTTGCATGATTGTTGGGAAGGTTTTGGAGTTGGCTGTGGTGTGACTGGTGTTGGAGATGGTTGAGGAGTTGGTTGAGAAGGCTGTTGAGCTCCATAAGCAAGTGTTGCAACAGTATATTGAGTTCCAGTAGACACTTGACTTCTAATGAAATCCAAATAATGAGTGGCATTGGTATAAACACCCACATTTGATCCACCACATCCAGGAGGTCCATAACTCACCACACCAGCCAACACGAAAATTGGTAATCCACTTTGTGGAACTACTTTTCTAAACAATGGTCCACCAGAATCTCCTCCACAAGTGTCAATTCCATTTCCATTTCCACCACAAATTTGTTGCGGAGTGGTCATTCCCAAATTCTTGGCATTACACACCGATGCAGGTGAGACTGGAACTTGAGCTTTTGTAAATTGGTCACACTCGAGGAAGAAGTGGTTCTTCCCCAACCTGCAATATACACCTGTGTATTGGTTGGAATGGTAGATCCTTCGACGACAGCTGACGTGACTCGCCATCCATCCAAAGGAACGGGTTGATCCAATTCAATGATTGCAATATCATTCTTGATGGTACTCGAATCATAGTTGGGATGTTTAGTGAAACGGGTGACACCTCTCATGATGCATTTCTGGGAAGCTGCAAGATTTGAGGAACACACATTGCTGGAGGAACCCATCACAATTCGAATCTTATCCATCGTGAGACCAATTTCACAATGACTGGCTGTAACGACATGTTTGGGAGAAATCAAAGTTCCCCCACAATAGTGAATTCCTGTGGCGGTTGGACTTGAAAAGTATTGAATGCTGACCATGTGTGGAAATTCATTATCAGTGGCTGAGGTACCTCCTGAGACTTTGGAATCAAACTGTGCACACAAACAGAAGGAGGAAAGAAGGAGAAAAGCAAGGATGACTGCAATCACAACGTCTGGTTGTTGCTGTGTTTGAGAGAATTTCATTGTGTGAAAATTGGCAAGTGACAAGAGCGAATGCAGCAAATTGCTTTTGTTCGTTTTTAAGTGGACGATGTGGAAGAGTGTGGTTGTGGAGATGAACGTTTTAAACGAATTCTGCCATTGTATAGAGGTGTGTAAAAAGTCGGACTCCAATACAATCAGAAATCATTCATGATTTGATGAATTTAGAAAATTCATCCAGGAATTGAGTGACAAGTGTGATTCAGCATTTCTATCTTCTGAAAAGCAAACATAAATAAAGAAAGTAGAAGTCGTGGTGATATCTAATTGCTAAAAGTTTTTGGATATTTTTGATATAAAAGGAAATGAGGTTTCTTCATAGGACATTGAACGTCATCCTTAGTATTTGTTTGTAGAATGTTGAGCATTTGTGTTCATGGATTCATCATGGTCATCCATTCAGAAAACGTTACTCAATAACAGAACATGGATCATTGAAGATGTAAAGATGATGAATTTCGCCAAAGTCCAAATCGAAAATGAGTAATGAATATCACCAAAATAGAAATTGCAAGAGCGTTACCCAAAAGTGAATGTTGAAATAGTTGTGAATCATCATTCAAAGGTACGTATCATGTATGATGATACCTATTCTTAAAATTTGAAAATCAGAAGGACTCAACGGAAGACGTTCACTATAGCTTACTCTTTCACGCTCTCCGAGTGTTGTTCAACGAAGATTGAAAGATCAGTGTTTTGTTGAAATTGTTCAAAATGTTGATTTTGTAATGAAGGTTGTTTTACTCTTCATCTGTATGTATCAATCGGAGCGCTCCATTTTCTATTCATGCTCGTGAAATAATCACCAATATATATATATAGATCAATTCAAGAAAAAAGAATTAATATTAATAATCACCAACTTTTCAATTTAAACAATCAACCTTTTGGAAATTGTAAAATATTGAAAAAATTGATCAACACTTGATGGCGAGGACCAAACAAACCGCCCGAAAATCAACGGAAGCGGCTCAAGTCATGACAAAGGTACAACCCAAGAGGAAGGCTGAGTTTGAAAGTGAAGTGAATCATTCTAGTAGCACCGGAGTTGGTAGTACTAGCAGCAACAGCAGTTATATTGTTCCACCTTCTAAAAGTTTGAAAACCATTTGTATTCCATATGAAAGAGAATATCAAGATCAGACCACGAACACCTCCTCCGATTATCATCAATCATTATTTGGATGTTTATCCGAATTACCTAATGAAATATTTCAACACATTTTGACTTTCTTGGTTGGAGATTTTGAACTCTACAAAAAAATTGATGTCACAAAAATTGATCCAAATGCTGATAAGGAGCAACGAAATCGATACAAAAGAAGTTATTTATCGTCAGATATTGAGTCATTCCTCATTCCGTATGAAAATCTTGTTGCTCTTGTGAAATTAATGCAGACAAACAAAGAACTGAATCGAATGATCACCTCCAAAAGAGATGACGATCACTTGACTGATTTTGAATTGTTTTGGTTGAATGGATACAACTTTTCGAAAAGCTGTTTTATTGGATTCGAACTAGGACTTTGGAAACATTAAAATTGGGCACTGGAGACTTGTCAAGGACAGCTGTTGAGGAAATGGGAAGAATTCAGAATATTGTGCAGCATTATGAGAGAGGAAAGTCATTAAGTGATTTGGATGCTACTATTGACCATAATAATTGGTTCGAAGACGAATATGCTAATGATGAAGAGCAATATGATGAATTTCTTTCTGATAATGTTGGAGATGATAAAAGTCTAAGAAAAAGTACCGATATTTAACAATGCTGAAGCGAGCAGAAAAGCCATCTTGGAGAGATTACACGCATTGGAATTGAGTATTGAAGATTACTGCCATGAATATAGAAGCTACACATCAGCTTTTGAATTATTCTTCTTCAGATCTCTCATGTTGAGTCTAAACATGTTTGATGCACTCGATTCCGAAAGTAGACAAGAGTATTGGAGTGACAACTCGGAATCATTGCTTGGTTATCATTATTTCGACCACTATTCAAAAAAAGCAATATCAGAACCTTCTGATTGGGCTAGAAAAGTACCATATAACCCCAATGTTAAATATCCCAAAGTTGGTCTGATGGTCTATCAGCAATCTGGTTGGAAGAAATTGCTTTGCAATAACAATATAACAACTGACTCCCAAACTGATCAGAACTCTGAATTGAAGGAGGAGGACATTGATTTCAACTTTCTAAGAAATCGATTGTCAAAAATTATTTTATTACAAATGTCACTGATTCCCAATTTGCTGCCACTTGAGGACTATGAATTTCCAGAGAATATCATGTTTTTGAGCGTGGAACAAGGAAACGATTCTAAAACAACAGCCACTCAAGAATATTCATTTGATGGAGCAACATTTCCAGGCGTCAGATATTTACGAGTTCGATATAATGACGACGATTATAGAAATTATGGAAAAAATTTGGGCATACAAGAAGTAATTATTCTTCGTTCTTTGTTGAACAAAAAGACATTACCTAAATTAGAACATTTGGTACTGAATGGATTTAGCACTATAACTACACTAGAGGAGCAATTTGACTTTTTAAAACAGTTAATTTCTATTGAAATTACCTTCAATCAACATGGTTACGGAGCAGACCAAGATATTTGGGAAAAAGCGACAGAATTTACCTCTAGACTCAGTCAAGCATCTTCAAAATTGAGATATGTGGTGGTACATACAGACCTTGACAGCAGGAGACATTGTCGACATGATCAACTAGCTGCATTTTACAAATCCCATCGATGCCCTGTCTCCATTGGATATGCAAGCATTAGCAGATTCTACTACATTAGTGGGGAATAATTGTTGACGCGACCCTGATCAGGGTTTCCTCATATCCAGAATGAAATAAAAACCGATTTCATAAATTGTCCATTAAAATCTTCCAAAAAAGATCGAACCTTTCTGTTTTCTCATCAAAAAAAATATTTTGCAATTTTCGTTGAAACTCTTGTCAACAACAAGAAACATTTTGTCAATCATGGGCTCCCTTCTCTCGAAAATCTTCTTCTCTCAAATCATCGGTTATAAACATTCGAAAATTTTAATTCTGGGACTCGATCATGCTGGTAAAACAGCAACTTTATATAAAATTGGTTTGAATGAGAATGTCACCACTGTTCCAACAATTGGATTCAATTCGGAAATGATACAATACAACAATGTCAAAATGTTGATTTTCGATTTGGGAGGACAAGAAAAAGTTCGATCCTTGTGGCAACATTATTTTGAAAATACGGATGCTATTATATTTGTGGTGGACTCTGCAGATCGAGAAAGAATGCAGGAAGCACGAGAAACGCTGCATGAAATACTAACGAATTCAAATTTGGAAAAAGTGAAATTACTTATTTTAGCAAATAAGCAAGATTTGTCAGAAGCTTTATCGGCATCTCAAATTGCAGAGGAATTGGATTTGAAAAGTATTAAACAAGATTATCACTTGCAAGAGTGCTCGGCAATCACTGGGGAGGGGTTATATGAAGGGTTTGATTGGTTGTCTGGAAAAATTGCATAAGGCAACAATGTTTTCATTCCTCGTTCGAGAGAATCATGTTTTCACATGTTTTAGTTTCTGAAGGAATAGAATGCACATGGTTGTTTGGAGGTGTCTCCAAATAATGAGTCACCATTTCTACATGTGGCATCTGAGCAGTTTATGTCACATTAAATATTTCAAAATAAATGTACATAATAAATTCAATGATTCACAAAATGACAATATTGTCGATATGCAATATTAATAATAAATTTTAAAAATTTCAATTCCACACAAAGATCTATCACCTACCTGCATGATTAATGTTTGCGCTATATAATGCACTCTCTGGAGTAGGAGAGAATTTATCCATTGGTGTGTCCATGAGACAACTCGAAGCAGGAAACAAAAAACCATCATTTGCTTCACCATATTGTACTAAATTTGCAAATAACTCCAAAGCAATTCCATAATAAGTAACGAGTCCCATAGGTGAAAAACCGCACATTCTTGCAGAAATTAATGGTTTCGAATAAGAGAAGATTGGTGAACCCAAACACATGGGTTTCTTTCCTCGATAACTGGGTCTGTCAATATCACAAAAATCAGGATACAGAGTTGCATCTGCCTCAATTGGATTTTCACCATCACAATTTTGTGTCACTTCAGCAATAAAGTCAAAAATTTTTGAATGCTATTTGGGGCAGATTGATGATCATAATCGTAACACAAAGTTTTCAAATAATAAGCAGCTTTTGATCCATTGAAAGGTGCCGACAAGGAAACCCACGTCGATGTCTTGAGATCGAGTTCACAATATCCCTTATACATGGCAGTTGGGAAGATCAAGTTACCCATCGAGTGTGTGAAAATAATAGTGTCTGTAATGAGGGTCGTATTTGGCTTACTGTTGACGAGAGCTAATGCACAGTAAGAGGTCTGTAATTCCTCAGAAGTCCATCCTCGATTGGCCGTATTTCGACGAATGAACCATGATTCTTTGCATTGGGTGGTATATGCATTGATATTTCCCCAATATGAAAACGAATGTGCGGGTTCTTGATCGAATCGATAGCCTGCTCCATGTAAAAGACACAAACTTTTGTGGCATTTGGTGCTGCGTGTGGATTCTTGATCATGATGACTCCATTCATGTGAGGTGTGGAAGTGTGGATCTTCATCATCTTGTACCATGGAGTGGAGGTGACACTGGTCTTTCTTCTTTCGGAATTAAGTAAAGACTGAGAAGGAGAAAATGACTTGAATTGTTGCTTGGGAGAAACTGTTGTACAATTGGATTTGGTTAAATCACTGTAATGAGAGGAGACTGTAGACATTGGAATGGTGTCAAGCTCAATTTCAGCCATTCTCGATCTAATTCTGTAAATTCTGTTTGTTTTCTTACTGAAACAGGCGATCAAAGCATCATTGCTTTCCTCTTTCAAATCATTGATGAAAATTAACGAGTCTTTTTCAGTGCATTGAGCAATTTCACTCAAATATCCATCTTCATTGAGTTCCATTCTCCATTTTGACAGCAATGCAGGTCTCAGCATGTTTTCCATAAATATTGAGAGAGTCATGTGAATTCCGCTCTTGGTGGAGCTTGTCTCTTGGGTCGTATCGATCATGTCATAATTCAATCGAATGCAATCATTGTGCGATTTAGGAACATAAACTACAAGGTCCATACGTTTTCCGTCAAAAGTGACAGCCAGTGGTGAGTGCAAACTTTGTGCAAAGAATTTGAAAGAATCTCCATTTTCAATTCTATACATTCCTATCCAATCAGAATCCACAGTTTTAAATTGTTGATGATCGTTCATCACTCCATCATGATCACCATTCAAAAGTGCACTTTGAACGTTCCTTCTAAATGATTTTTCACACCAATGTTCATCAAATTGTGGATTTTCATTGAATCGAGTTGTGGATGCGACTCGGAAACTACAATCACGACAAGTGTGACCAAAACGGTCAGCATCAAGAAGAGGGAGGAGCGAACAAGTCCTCTCATGGTCATCTTATTGTGTCGTTGTTGTTCCAGAAGTGCTGTCAATAATGAGAAACAAGTCTCCCACTCCACGGATAGAATTCAGGTATTTTTGTTTTGCCGACAACGCGCTTCTAGGCAACCAAACGGAAAAAATCATTCTGACAGGCGCGGGGTTGTCGGCAACTAAAAGACGAAACTTCACAGAAGTGAGCTTGTAAGAATCCATGATCGTTGTAAAATGTGAAATCTCCTAAAATCAAGGAATCAAAACATATGAGAATGAGATCTATTGTGTTTTCTTCTTGTTTTTCTTTGGATCTGTTGGTAACGAAGATGTTGTCGTATTGGATGATATTTTCAACGTTGAAATTGTGGTTGCTGTTGTGGAGCTCGCCTTGTTGTCACCAGCAGACTGTTTTTCCTCTTCTTCTTCACTTGCTTGAACCATAATGTGAGACAAAATGGTCATCACCAACATGGTTAGGAAAAAGAGTCCAATGAGCATGAATTTATAAGGTGTGAAATAATGCAGTCCTCTTGCTAAAGCTTTCAATATCATTTGACTCGTTGGAAAGGTTGACAGTGGACGTGTCGACCCAGCCAACTCTTTCACATTCACCACTCCACTCAAAAACGGATAGGTCAATAACAAGACAATGATGGATAAATTTTCTGCCGTGTCCACTAAGGCTGTAAGAGCGACGAGAATGTACATTAATGGACTGAATAAGCCTTCTCCAATTTTGAACCAGACATAACAATGGACAACACAATAAATCGGAACAAATAGAAATTGATCTATAAATTGCATGATGAGATGACTAGTCCTTCCTTCGGAGCCCATCTTTTCAATCAATTCAAATACTTCAATTTCTGGAGGATCTGATGAATATCCCGATGATCTTAAATCCAAGCTTCCTTCAATCTTTTGTAACCCTTCACTGAAGTATTCCACTGTTTTTAAAACACCTAACACCAATAGATAAATCCCGAAAAAACTAATAGTCTTTTCCATGATGGGATGGAAATCCAAGCATTGATCATCGGTGGTTGTTGCGTGTTGGTGGCTTTCCTTGTTTGCATTTTTTATTTTCGTTTTTGCTAACTTTAACAATTTGGTCCTCTTTTTCGTATACATGTATATTACCAATATTATTCATTAAATTTTGAAGATGATTTAATTCAGGTTAATAGGAATAATATCTTTATTGAGTGTATCAAAAAGGTTAGTCAAATCATGAATGGATGTTCAGTTAGAATAAATTATTAGTATTAATATTATTGAGAAAATTAGTTTCGTAATGACTGGGTGATTGTTCACACCAAATTAGCTTCCTTATATTTTCGAGAGGCCTCTTCTGCTGCTTCCAATTGAAGTTGTTCTGAGAATGTTAAATTATCTTGAATCCAAGGTTTGTGCTCAATTAGAATCCAACAAATGCAGCACAGTGAAATGACGATACAGACACTTGAAATAAATCCAATAATTCCAAATAAGAGTAATTGAAAACCAACATTGGTCATGTAAGAACTTTGACTGGTTTTAGGTTCAGTTAGAGAAACTTTTGTTTCGTCCTTGTTGGTGTAGCACACATATTCGGATTGTGTATGATATTGTTGTGATTTTGGATAACATGTATCTGAGAGCAGGGTTTTGTAAGGTTTGTTTGGATTGGTTTGTGACACATTGGAACCACCGTCCTTGGAAAACGTGGGAAAAGAAATTCGAAAGACAATGCCTCGGTTCGTATCTGAATATGAAGAGGATTGAGAATATGAGCACTCTCTTGTGCCAACAATGTAACATGGAAAACGAGTGTAAATAATAGCATTTCCGTCTGAAACAGCAGCTGAAGTGGGTGTTCCACTTTGTTGCAGGAATGAACTACCTATTGCAAGTAAGGGAATTGGTGCAGTGAATAATATGCAGCTCACTAATAAACAGGTGATGATTAGACAGATCAACACCTTGTCGGACTTTCTATATTTTTGCTTCATGTAATAAATCCCATTTGAAAAGAATGAAGTTCCCTTAATATCTAGTGACACTTGGGCAATCTCTATCACGGCAAATTGAATATCGGTTGGTGACGGAGCTGATGATGATTCTATGGTCATGATATTACAACTTTCTAATGATGTTGTGGTTTTCAATGCTTCAAGTTTACGTTTTTCTCGCAAAGTGATGTTGTCACCTTTACAGTTGGAGAATTGCTAAAAGGAATGCTTGGAATATTTACATGTTGAGGTTGTGGTGATAATGCATATTCTGTTTCCAGATTTTGAAGAGTATTTTCATGTTGATGCTCCACATCGTCGACAAGTGTCGGTTCAATTTTTTGCTCTGTCTTCAAATAATTATGTTTGTCTTCACTCAATTCAGTGTCAACACTCGATGACTCAGCGGAGGTCGTTTCTTCATAAGAGGTTTTTTCTTCAAATTCGTCACAATTCGTATTGTTGTTGATGATTTCGTTTTTGAATGATTATCAATGGTTTCCATTTGATAGTTAGTATGATTTTCTTCGTTTCCTACAAGTAATGATCCAAGTTGCAGTGAACGGAGGTAATTCTCATCCTGTAATGTTGATAATTTTTCTGATAGTAGTGTTTCCTGAACCAAGTAGGGGTCGTCACCACGACAAGGTCTATCACTATCAGGTACATCTTGTGAAGGTTGATTCTCATCGTCGGTGAGAGCCTTGTCAACTCTCTCCCCAAAGTGTCATTTAGCTCAAAATTTTCTTTTTCCAATGAGCCAGAAGGGCTGAATATACTCTCATCCATTCTCCCAATTTGTTCTAGCACATACTCTTCCAATTGTTGTGCATTACTAAAAACAATTTAGGTTCCTTTTCAGGTAGAGAGGAATGTTGTGGCTGGGAATTTGTTTCAACATTTCCATTCATCGAAACTTCCGCCAAATTCATTGGTAATGCTTCAAGATGTTCATGAAGAATGCTGTTGTGGTCATGGCGGTCGTCAGTCATGCAAGCAATGCTGCTTCTTTCTTCTGGTTGTTGTAGTAAGATGGTGTGGTGGATCGTGTCAGCAAACCAACTCGACGGAGACTCATTGACGAGTCTTCTCACAAGAAGGAATGAATTGAATTCCGATGTATGTACATCATCATGCGTGCAATCCTCACTATCCCTTCTTTCTATTGCTGTTGTTCTTGTTGTAATTTCAGTAAGATCCATATTTGGTTGTAGGGAACCACGACTACTTGTTGATGAAGATGATGAGTTTGTTGTTGAGTCGTAGCAGTTGTAGTAGTGTGGACCACATGAATCGGACGCAGCATCTGTGAGAGGAAATTAATTTGTGTTCAAACACTTGCTCGTTAGAAGTACCACCATCATTGAATAAGGACGACGATGTCGCATCATGATGGATCGTCTTTTCATCTTGTCCTTCTTTCCTAACGTACGCTCGCTCTCAATCAATATGGAGGCTATTTATATGATTCATCAAATAATCATCCTATTCATCCTACACGTAAGAACATTATGGCATGAGAGAGGATGAAAGCCCATGGACATTATTGGCGTCATTTTTGTAATGAGATACAAAAAATGGGCGCGAAGGAAGATGCCATCAGCACGAACCACCGTCATGATGTTATATCGTGGTGCTTGTGGTGATTTAGGTCAGGTTCCGTCATGAGGGAACGTGAATGGAACTATTACTTAATATCATAATAACCTCAACTGACCTCTGCCAGGGATCGGAGTGCATGGATCACATTCACTCTGCTGCGGGTTTGAATGGATGGACTTTTAAGATGAAGAGAGGAGCGCTTCAAAAGAACTTCCAAATGTTTTCTCGAAAGTGAGTGTCGAGTTGTTGTGGCTTCAAAAGAATGTCTCAAAATCTTCAACACTCGATTTCTCTTGAAATTGTTGTGGAGCGAGCAACGAAATTGATCGCAGCTGATATCCTTTCGCATTCGTCAGATCCCTGTGTGGTGGTTAAAGGTAAGTGATGAATTTTGATTTTTGTGTGATCAATTTGACCACAATAACCACGCATGAATGACATTCAGTTCCCTATCAAGGACTTGTAAAAGAAGAACGAACGAGTGTCATCAAACGAAACCGAAATCCTGAATGGAATGAGCTCTTGGAAATGTTTAAATGTGGAAGATGGACTCAGATGAAAAATTAGAATTAGTTTGTGTTTCAACATTGATGATATTGGTTCGTGTCTCACTTTTTTCAGAACTTCTTTACAATCGTTCGATTGACAATGTCCACGGGTTTGATGTTGAAGTTGAAAATTGAGAAAAGAAGGAGCAATATGAGTGAAAATGGCCATCACTGTGTATCCCACACAACACGCATAGATGGTAATGCACATCTCATCGTCACCAAAACTGTTTTTCTTGATCAAAGACGTTTCCAACACTTTTGTGAATTTCCCACTTTCAAAGAGATAGGTCTTTTCTGCATTTTCTGTGAGAATTTGAAGTGAGCCACCATTTTTCTCGCAGGTGGGCCTTAAGGTTTTCAAATAATGTTCAATACTGTTCAAACTCGACTCGACAAAATCCAACGAAGAAATGTCCTTATAAGTGATTGCAAGTGATACCAAAGAATCTGAAAATACAGCAGAGAATGCCTTATTTCCAATGTTTCTGCTGCACAACTCAAATTCCACAGGCACCACTGGTATAAAGGTGTGGCTGGGAAATTCATAGACTTTTTTGAATTTTAGAGATCGGGATGAAATAGATTCAATTGAATTAGAAGCGACGCTATTCTCTTCCACCTCTAATGGCTTTTCCATCTGTTTGACAAGAGATTTCAGTTTTGAGAGGATCTTCCAAGTCTCTCTCTTCACAACGTCGATCTCTCCAAATAAGTCCAATCTAAATAAACCTTTAGACATTTGTATAATTTCTACTTCTACCTTAATATTACAGGTGTACCCCTTTCTAATGGCTACGTATCACGATGAATGCACCTCATCCCGTCCGATTTGAGAAGTTAAGCATCGTCGAGCTGCATCAGTACTGAGGTTGGAGACAACTTGGGAACCTGCAGTGCTGTAGCCTTTTTCATTCTTTCTTCAAAAATTTTGTTTACGGTTTAAAAAAATTGGCATAAGGCCGAATTGAAATTTTCGTTTTGAACACATCAAATCATCCGTTCAAAAGAGCTTTTAATGCACACATCTTTTATATCAGAAGCGAATGTTTGTGCTTTAGAAACTCTAGTCCTTTATTTATCGTCATCAATTACTCCAATCAGAGCATCTCTTTGCAAGGGTTTAAATTACCCTGTCCGCGAGTCGAAGAAAAGATTCAGTCTCGGTTGTGCGATAGATTAAATTTGACAGAGTGACCTCGAAGCAGCCGGTCGTAGTTGGTCAACTTTGTTACAAATCATTGGTTTGCCCACTTGAATTTGTTTGAGGTCCATTCTCACAACCACTAAATTGTTGTGCAAATAACACACTCTTCATGTCAAACCCTTCTCAACATGAACAACTCTTAAGAGGTTTTTTAATGGAGGGTAATTTTCGATCTCTTCATAAATCATCATCATGTTTTTTCATACCATATGAAAGAGGAAATGAAGGAAGAAATGAAGGATTTGAAAAGGAGCTGAAGAAGGAACTGAAGGAAGTAATGAGGATGGAATTCTTGAATTTTAATAATCAGATCTAAAATCTACGAAATCTATTAGAATCCTTTTTAATCGAAATAAGATGAATAGTTTCATGTTGATAAACTCTCTTCGATGTCCAATGTGGTTATACGGACAAGTATTTAGGCATTGAAAGTATGAACAGTGGAATCATCACTTTTAATCAAAATAATGTTTCGCAATCTATTTATCGACACCTTCTTCTTCTAAGCAATCACCTCGATGAAAATCGCAACAACAAGCATCACAATCATCACACTCATCATCATTGGTCTCATCACATAAGCACTGCTTACTTGTCTCTTACTACTCACACTCGTCTTTGGATTCACTGGATCTCGACTTGTATCCTTCACAAATCTGACATTGTCAATTATGAATTCCTTGTAAACACCTCCATTGACAATCCATCTCACTCGTTGAATGGCATTGAGTGAAGTCTTGTTGGTGAATGGAAGATCAGTGACTGGAATTATCAATCGAGTGACACGAGTGTCATCAATCTTGTAATGTTGAAAATATTTTGGATCGACGAACACAGATGTCAAATCTTTGGCAGCATTGTTTTGAGTTTCTTTGAAATAAACATTCAATCTCAACTCTCCAGGAGTGACAACCTTCACAAAGAATTCATAATATTTGTAAACTCCCAAATCAATCCAATTCGCTGGATAACGAGAATCTGTGGCAGAGAAGCTTTTTGACACTTGACATCCACCACGACCAATTCCAATATACATGGAAGAAGATCCACAAATTTGGTCTTGGAAGTGTCCATATCTTCAGATTCCGAATAAATATTTAGAGAATCAGCAGGAGATGGATCGCAAGGTTTTGGATGGATGGAATTCTTTCCTTGATTGCATGCAACGAAACCTTTCAAATGTCCATTTGAATATTCAGTGGTGTGTAACTTGACAAAGAGACGTCCTTTCAAGAGATGAATCAATTCACCGACTGACAAGTCTGCAGAAAATCTTGACATGGAAAATGGAGAATATTTTACACCAAATTGTGAAATGAATCGTTCTTCAGAACCAGTGGATGGATCGCCAATTCCAATTTCCATCTTGGTCGCAATTAAAGTCAAATCATGATGAACTGTAAAATCAATGGTTCGCTTATTTGGAAGTAGTGTTGCAAAGGCGACACCATTTCCACGAGCTCCATTGACGATTGGTTTCAAAATACCAGCGAATCGATCCTCACGATTGTAGAGTTTGACAAATTTGTCAGAATCTTTTGGTAAATCATAATTGTCAACTGTGCATTTACCATTTGGACAAGAGGCATTGACATAAATGTTATAACCGTCCCAACTGTAAACAGAGAATCCCATCGTTCACTAAATGCAGTTCTACCTGCTCTATTTCTCAAATACAAGTATAAATTCTCACCAGCAAAGTCAAAATAATAATTGGTAGGATCCTTAACGATCTCAGAAAGGCTGTTGACAGATGTCAATGAAGTTGGAACATTGTTTTTCAAATAATAAATCCATAAAGAAGCAGTTCTTGGATATTGTACACTCACTACGACCCAATCATTGTTAGCACTTGATGGCAATGAAAATCTAAGAACTGGTGGAGTTGGAATATTCAACACCCAACGAATGGCATAAAATTTCTCAAAATTACATTGCTGTGCATGATGTGATCGACAGTTCCAGAAGAAACAGCACCCAATACTTGACTACTGGCACGTCTTGTCAAATCATGAGTAATCATTCTTGGAATTCTTGCAGATGGATTATTAAATTGAGGATTGATTCCCAAAGTACCTGTGGTTTCAAATGACCTCCAATATTGACAACTGTCAGTTGTGCATAACCTTCCAAAGAAACTGGACAAGCATAACCTTTCCAATCCTCTCTTCTCACACATGCAGAATGAGATAAAATACTGTCGTTGGCCACAATCCAACCACCTGGAGTGAGTTCAGTTGCAGCACCATCAATATCTAACAAACAAGCTCCCTTATTACCATCGAAATAATTTGGCATGATGAACGCATGATTGAATTTTCAAATTTCAAACCCACATATCGATTCAAAGTTTGATGTTTGAAAGGAGCATCTGTTAATTGACCCAAAGCACCTGATTGTCTAAATGAATCAGGCATAAAGTTTCGAAAAGTAACATTAACAAGAATTTGTGGACCACCATTGTCATAGGTTTCATAACCCTTAATGACAAATTTAGTAGCTGTGGAATAGAAATCAGGACGAGATCGACCACCCACATCAATCGTTGGACGATAACCAGCTTCACCCACATTGTCTGTCTCAGCAATGAATAAACTGTCCATAATAATACTTGGACCAGGTGGAGAGTTCATTTGATTTCGATTATCAAAAAGTGTTAAATTCTTGAATACGAGTGGACCACCACGAGCCCAAATACCATAACCACGATTTTTGTAAGAGATTAGGCCTTCGAAAATTGCATCGACAGACACACCCGAAACGGTTGGATTTGGATAAGGTCCCAGTCGAGGAGAAAACCAGAGAGTTCAGTCGTTCCATCAGGTTTTACCATGTCATCCACATGAAAACCATTTCCATTCGAAGAGTGAGCCACATTGAATTTAAAACCTCCCAAAGGTTGATTACGAGGTCGACCTAATAATTATTACTTGAAAGACCATTGACATTTAAAGGCATGGTAAACCAAAAGGAAATCTTCCACCCAAAGCAGCGTTCTTATACCAAGTATTGTCGGCATTCGTAATCCAGAAACAAGCAACATCGTTATCGGATGGAATGATTTGAAGTGGATCTGCATTGGCCACTGGTCTTGGTCGAATGGCCAAATTGTGAATAAATTCATTTCCCATTTCAGAACCATCTTCCAAAAAGTATTGTCTTGAATCAAGAGACCATTCGTATCATGCACCACGACACATCTCTGAAAAGAGTGATGCATCGAAGAGTCCTTAATTTGCTGTATTGGAACCCAATGATTTACAACTATTTGGCAGGTTACTAAACACCTTGAAGGAATTATATTCGAATGATATTCGAAGAGTCAATCGAATGAGAATAAGACAGGCGCTGTCTTTCATGAAGATGCCTCAACTTGGAATCTTCAACTTGTGAATCCAACACAACCATTCTTTTTGAAACACTTTCAAGTTTATATTGAGTACAGTTAATTCCAAAAAGGTTGTTGGATGGGTTCTTCTTCTTCTCCTCAATTGTTTCTCAATTGGTTTGTTTTTCTCAATACTTTACAAAAAAATGTCTTTAGATGAAGAAGCTTCATCATCTTCTTCTTCGTTCCATCATCAACAAGCAACAACAACAAACACTTTTGTTGCTCCGACAGCCACTCAATCCATCTATGATCAAATTATTGCAGCGAATACTTCACCCTATACAATTTATTTCCGACAAATGTTTATGAGTTTTCCATTCTTGATGAGTTTATTACTTTTTATTTATTATTATGCACACGTGAATGGAATGTTTGATGAAGTGAGAGTTTATATGAGTTCTAAATTAAGAAATTTAACACATGTCATGAGGATGTCAAGTGTAGAAGATGATGACTATTATGATGAAAAGAAGGAGATGATCATGAGACAAATCAAAACGAAACAAAGCATATTCCGTTGAGTGAAATTTGTAAACTCTCTCCTTCACTCAATGGAACTGCAGTCACAAAATTGAGTGATAATTATTTACAAGCTTTCAAAGATGATTCAGAAAAGAAGAAAATTGTGGAAGAAGCCAAATTGAAAATTGAAAACACTCCTTGGGCCTTGTCAACCATATTCTTTGGCCCTTCTGCTTTCAATGAAATGTCACTTTACAGATATCCAATGTTTTTCGGATTTTCTGGAATGGCACAGACAATGCTTGCTAGAGTTGTGAAAGGAAATAGATTTTCAAGGCTGTTAGGCTTTGGAAAATTGACAAGTGACAACATTTCTCATTACTACGAGAAGGAAGGTTGGAAGCATGAAAAGTGACCATTTCTAGTAATGGACAAACATATTATTTTGATGTATTACAGAAATCAAGCTCCAACTCTTCTGATTGCACATTTTCAACCCTTCTATTGGTGCCAGATATTGATGGATGTCTGGGAGAAAATTCTTACTATTTAGATTCCTTTATTGATCACATATGTGGTGCACGAAACTCTTTAAGGCTTGCTGCCTCCACTAGATTTTCTATTCATCGAGTCATTATTTATAACAGAGAAGGAAGATCTCACAATTACCCATTGACCACTGGCTCTAATTTCAAATTATTAGGTGATGCAAACGCTCTGAGGTATTGCATTCAACAACTCGCAGAGAAATACACAATTGGCAAAGTATCAAATTCTCAATTCATTGGTGATCAATTGATTGGAGTTGGATGGGGCTTTGGTGCTAATTTACTATTAAGCACCATATCTGGTCTTTCCAAAACAAATTACTTCTCCATGTGCATTTCCATTTCAAACCCATATGACATCAAAATTGCATGACAAATCACATGACAATCTATCACAACACAATTCTGAAACAGCTCAAACAAATTGTGAAAACAATTGAGCATCTTTCAACAGCTACCACAAGCATCAACTTTGAATCTCGACTTTTAATGTCTTCAAAGAATTTCATAGATTTTGACACAAATTTCACACTCAAAATTAATCCAGAAGTTCAAGATATTCAGAATGATTATTACGATGCCTCTAGTTGTTGCCATCATTTAAGTGATGATTTATTATGCCCAATTCTTCTCGTATCTGCAAGCGATGATCCTTCTTGTTCTGTGTCTGTGATGAATAAGAAGGTCACTCCTGCTTGTATTTATGGAAAACATGAGAATATTCTTCTTGTAAAAACATCAAAAGGTGGAAATCGAGCTTTCTTCACTGGTTCTTTCTACCGAATGGAGTGGCATTTGACGAGAAAGTTGTATTTGATTTTATGGAAGCTGTATTGGCATTGAGTAACAAATAGAAAACTAGAATGAAGAATGAAGGAGAATTTAATTTGGCTGTTGATGATCAGTTGAGCGTCACAAACTGTTTGAAATGTAACAACAACCATTCGCTCATTTATTCACCAATAATATTGGTGTTGCCAATTCCACAACAGAATTGGTTGTTTCTGTTGATAGGATCGAATCATTCAAGAAAGTGGATGCAATTTCCTTGACATATTGTTTAGCCCATTCCTTGACACCTTCCACTGCAAATTCCAAAATCATATCCACCACACCATCTGTACATTCCATGTCACACTCTTTCAACAACTTTTGAATGGAATCATTCTCTTCCTTAATGATATCCTTCTTAATTTCCAAACACAGAATACCACTCAAATCTATATGATTCATGTCACCACCTTCTTCAAGATAACGAATCATGGCTTTTTCCCATCTCGATGGAGTGCAGACACTTTGAGCAATAGTTTTCAATTTGGTGTCAACATCTTTTTCTTCTTTGAGATGTTTGGCTTTCTTTGTTTCCTTGTAACGTTTAGAAACCATTTTGAAAGAGACCATTTGAATGTCACCAAGACCATCCATTTCATCTGTTTTCAAAGAGCTGTCAACTGTCATGGTGGTGTGATCTACATATTGTTTCACAACCAAACCTTCCATCATGGCATATCCACCCAATTGAGATTTGGTATTATTACACAAATATTTCAACTTTTCAAAATCCAACAAACCACGATACACAATTTGAGCACACATCAATCCCAATCGTTTTGCTTCCATTTCAATTTCATCTGGCAGCAAATAATTTCCTTATCATTCTGGACATCAAACAAGACAAAAGATTTTGGAGGAATGATTCCATACATGACACGACAATGTCTATAACGAGTAATGGTTTCACCTCGATAGATATAATTTGGGAAAAGTAAATGTTGAATTTCAGTAATACCTTTGATGGCATTTTCAAAGAAAACGTCATTGGAGATTGACCTTTTTGTTCGATAAATTAATTTCATTCTTGGACCTCTTTCTTCTTGATTGGAAAGTGCTTGGTCCTTATTTTCATCATCATTGACATTTGTCAGCATGAATGACAACTGAGAGCCATCAATTTTCTCTTGAGCATAGACATAGGTGGAATGTTCGATCCATCGTTTGGAGGATTTGATGGCATATCCTGCACCACTTGATTTTTCTTTAGCACTTGGATATTTTGGAAGAAGAGTGTAATAATCTCTTTCATGAAAAAGAGAGAGTTTTCGAGAAGTGACATTTGACTTTTCATGATTGATATTCTTTGAAATCTCTTCAGAAAGTGACTCTGAAGTATCCAATGACAATAGATCGTTCATATTTTGTTTTTTTTACTTTATCAGTATTGTTTGCAACTCAAAGTTTTCATTTCACTCTCCAAAGTGCATTTTCAAAATTCCAAAAGCAATTTCATTTCAAGATGATAAGTGGAACTCGAGTTCACTTTCTCTCACTTATAAATGGAAACTTCTCTTGTATGACACACCAATAACTCTCCCGTGAATTCATTCAAACAAATTCCAGAGAGACCTTTCACAGTGGTAAAACTTTTGACACAACGACCAAATCGAAAAATTTGAATTCGATTTTTTGGAGTGTTGTTGTTGTCGTCGTGGATGAAAGAAGAAATTCAGAACCTCTCTTATCGAGAATACAAATTCCTTTGGTGAATTCACTTTTCCTTCTCTCATGTCGCCAAAACTTTTCACAATTTTCCATTTCGGTGGAGAACGAAGGTCATTCTTCTCGAGAAAAAGATTTTGATTCGATAATCACGACTCTTTTCATCTTTCTGTTCAATGACATAGAATAAAGAACTATCAAAAATCACGTCCGATCGGAATGGAGATCCTTCCAATGAAATGGTTTGAACGACAAGTCCAGAAGACAAGTTTAACACATAAATAGTTTTTGAAACAAGTTCGAAATGAACGCATAGGTTCTGGACACACAAATTCCAGTTACATTCGAAAGTGATTGAGATTTCCATAAACAATTCTTTTCAACAAGTTTGGAATCATCAATGCTGTCTTTTGATTTGGAATTTTGTAACAGAAATTGTAAATCACATTTCATACAATAATTCCATAAAAACATTTTGGAAGAAATCAAAAGAAGTGCGTCATGTTCCATTTGATCGTAATTTTCTTGAACACAGAAGTGACACGATTCAATATTGAGAGAAAATATAAACTTTTTGACATCAAGTCAAAAATAACATTCTTTGATTTCCAGAGTCACTGATGATAATACAAGCATGATGATAAGAAATCTTGACTTCTGACGGATGTTTCAGATACATGTCAAATTCGAAAGCTGTTGCCACATCAAACGTCGAAACAGAAGGAAGTGCAATTTTATCGATGGTGTGAACAAGTTGAAATGCACGAGAGAAGGCTCTTGGAACTCGTTCTCTTCCTTTCACCAACTTTTGACTCAGTTTTTCAAACAGATGGAGGCAATGATCTTGGAAAGAATTGTGGCGTGATGATGGTACAAAATCAATAAGAATGAGAGGCATCTGTTTGCTACTCAAAATTTTTTACGCAATGATTGCTGACAGCGGAGGTTTTGAAAACCCCGCTTAATACGAGAAAAGCATTAACCATATATTGCAATCTATTTTAGCGCATAGCTTGTCTCTTCAGTCCTCTAGATAAGAGATCATGAATGGACGCATCAATCATCACTTCAAATGAAAATTCTTTCACTTTTGTCAACAATCTCATTAAGTTACTGAAAATCATTAATCGATCATGGTCTCTCTTGTTAATATCTTTTTCTGTGAAATTTGGATTGCCAAGGATCGATACTTGGGAAGTCTCAACAATATGCAAGACAGGAAACACAGGTCGTTGATCTCTAAATTTTTGCAACTCTGAATCTCCTCCTCAATGACCATGATCTTGTCACACCATGATGCTTGAATGTTGAGGGTTTTATTGTTGCTTTTTGAGATTTCCTGTTGAATCTATTTGTAGATAGAGTTTTGAGTTCCTCGTTTCGAGTTAACGACAGTAAAAGAAATAACAGAAACTGTCAAGTAACAGCTCTCCTAACATTAGCATCATATCTACCATAAATATCTACGATACTGAAATTATTTTGTTCAGCATTTCAAAGCAGAAGCATACCATCATCAACAACATTATGACACTCTTTCATCTCCTTAAGCATGAGACAGGATCATTGAATTCCACTGTTGGATGTTGGGTCATTTTGTTTGCTTGGACATGATGGTTGTGAACAGGGAATATCAAAGGAAATTTTTCGAAGAGATCACTTGAATGTTATTACATGCTGCTCAATCCTTTCTCTTAATGTACACCGCATGATAAGACCTAAAAGGATTTTTGATGTCTTGTTCCCTCCTTTATAATCTCTTCTGCCAAAACGTTGTTGTTTTGGTAATGCGTTGTCAAACGTTGATAAATCTTCACAATACTCAAGAATGAAACCTGATTGTTTTTCTCTGTTTGTTGACAAGATCCTTCTGAGTCTTTTGGTCAACCAATATGGGAGCAGTGATTAACTCGGTCCACTGTCGCTAGATCGATATTCAGCAAAGTATTCAGAACAAAAATTGGGCATCTCTCGAGGAGAACTCCAAACCAGTGAGTATAATCCGTGCATGATGTCGAGGGTGAGTGAAGTTTCAGGAGGGGAACAGTCGTGTTCTCGAATAATTAGAGCTCCTCCTGGCTCCAAAATTCTGTACACCTCTTTGATAGTTTCCTCTACGTTTTTGATATGATGAAAAGACATGAGAGCTGTCACAAGTGAAAATGAGTTATTTGAAAGGTAGATGATTGGATTGTTCACTAATGAGATGGAATGTAAAATCGTTGGTGTAAGTTTTTCCAATGTCTCACGTCACAGCCATGAATGTTTTCTTTTGTTAAACCAAGTTCATGTCCAACAGCTTGCGTAATTGATCCTTCAGAGCATCCAATATCAAGCATGTTACGGACTTTCAAAGATTTTGGAATTAGTTCCTTAATTTTGTTAGAACGATTACTAGTTCTGTATGAAGTATCAGTACTTCGATCTGTACTCATCTTGGTAACATTCACTGATTCTCTTTCAGATATTCTCTAGATTTAAATATCTTATTTTGGAAGAGATCATTTAATTTGTCATAAATCTCTTGGTCATTAGAAGAAGTTTCAATAAATTTCTGGATCTGTTCCTGACAATAGCCTGCTG